CTCATTCTATCACAATGACACTTCATTAAAATGTGAACCCATGCATGTTCAACTGTGTCACAAGAAATTTGAGCTCAAAAGCCAAAGTGTCAAACACTTCTCACTCTTCATATGCAGGAAAGCAATTAAAAATGGATCCATTTTAAACTTACAAAAATTATTCTGAAAGACAAGAATAGTAAACACTCTCAACAACAGGACTTCAGTAACAGTCCATATTTATACACATATACCTTTATACATAGATGTGTGTGTGTAATTAAGCTTCTGTGGTTCTGCTAACAAAATATTTTAAATAGCTGAACAGATTTTCACTAAATTTATGATAAATTTGAGATGGCTAAAATAAAATATTGGCTACATGCCAGCTGGAGTTGGGGTTAGGGTGAGGGAGAATCTCAAAGATTCAAGCATCCTTCCCCCTGAAAGTGCAAAACTGAAGTAAGACAGTAGTGTGACTGTGAAGTAAGAGAGACAGAAAAACAGGTTTCAAGCACAGATTCTAAATTGAAACTTACAAGACCAGATGAATTGCAAGCTTTGATTGCAATAAGCTGCTTTTTGTATAGGTAACACTATAGAAAATACAATGAGTACCAGCAGATTTTTATTTAAGGATTGATGAATCTCCCCAGAAACCTCAACAGGGCAACCAGTTTAACTATTAGTGGTGCAGCCAATGTTTGACACTACATAAGTCCTGAAAAGAATAGACCATTGCAGGTATCTATCTATCTGGAAGAGGTAAATTATGAGAAGGCTAGATGATGTAGTTCTGAGAATTCTGCATCACAAATATGGCCACTTCTCACACCACTAAGAATAGTAAAGGCTTACACTCAGCAGGATCATTGATGTTTAACATTCTATTCATTACTATTTCCAGTAGTCAGGGATTTTTAAAATAATAAAATCCTGCAGGTCAGAGCACCTGTCATACTCAGATAGGAACTGGTTGGTTTATAGGGACAGTAAATCATACCTTAAAGAGAACACAAGATTCTATTTTAAGCTGCAAACCTCTGTGATTCTGCTATAGGGAAGGTTCTATGCACCCATATTGCATGAGAGGCCAGTGCAGAGCTTTTGAGAAACATTACTCTTAACTGTATTCAAGCTGTCAGCAATTTTTCTAGATGCCCCATTACCAAAATGTAGGATTTGAATGGGTGTGGATAAAGTGTGTACAGTACAATTTTTCCAAAAAGAATGGCAAGAATAACCATAATGAGTGGCACTGTACTCTAATACAAAGAAAACCTGTCTTTGAAAACGTTCAGCATGCCAATCAAGTGTCAAAGTGATCATACACTTGTTGAAAAACCTTGGCAAAATGCAAATAAGGTTGGGCAAGGAGAGGAGAGAGAGTTGGCTTAAACACCCTCAGAGAGACAACCACAAAGAAGATGAAAATATGGGACCAGGAAGAGGAAGATGGAGTAGGAAATCTGACTTTGTGCTTGAGATGAGGAGGCAATTCATTCTCTGCATTTTCCTGTCTAGAGAAGCTTGAACGTCCAAACAAATTTAGAATACTCCCATTCTCTTGTAATTAAAAGAATTCAAGACTTAATCCCCAAATGTTTGAACACATAAATGCAAAAACTGAGTGCCTATATTGCAGAATGGCTTATGAATTTGTCCACAACATACTCAAATCCTTCTGAAAGTAATATAGTTGATAAGACAAGCTTAGAAATCAAAGCTCTTTGAATGAATGTTACCCAACTCTTTAAATGTAAGCCTGTGTCCCAGTCTACGTCTCAAGGGGAAAAAAACAGTAAAATGTAGCTGGATAAAATTATCACCCCTGTATATTATTAGACTCCAAAACTGGACAAGACTTTGATGTTCACAAACTCAATGCAGATGGCATTGTTTTGACTTCCCTATTAGAGGGTCGAACTCAAATAATATGATTTTTTACTCAAGTACAGAACTGAAGCTCCCTGAGGGCAAGAACTAAAAAATGATTTATTTTTTAATTCCCTCCGACACCTAGCAGAACATATTTAACATAGTAGGTGCTAAAACATCCACAGAAAGAATAAATCCATTTGACAAACAACCTCGTTATAAACACAGGCAGGCATCTGGAGAATGTGGTAGTCAACATCTAAAATCCCTCTTCATGAAGGAGCCTATGTTCACTTTGCTAGTGGAGAAAGAGTGTAACCAAAGAAAGTAGAACATTTTTTCACTGATATCATCTTTGTCAGGTCTGACTATGCCTCCCTTTCTTGTGGATGACCCTTAAGGGCACATTTGAACATAAACAGCTTATTTACGTCAAAGTACAAGCCACTGAGACGATGCTTAGTTTACCGTCTAGGGTGGTTCTTCATGTTCTGCTGGACAGGGATTAAACAACTAATTTAAATGCTGAATTTGTGTGTTGAGGTAAGGAGTAGAGGTGTTCTGCGGGTCTTAAAATTTTTCTGTACACATTCTATTTAAGTATAATGCCTTCCATCTTTTGAAAAGACATTTTACTGTGGAAATAGGGGATGAATTTCATGGGGAAAAATTACTAAAGGAGAATTTTCAAAGTGCTCCATTCTAAAATGGGAGATATATTGGTAAACATTTTGAAGTATCCATGTTGAAGTACTGAGACCAATTAATTTCTCCCTCTTCTGAGTTCAGGAGAAAAGAGGGAGAAATTAATTCCATCAGCCAGGCNTCCAAAAAAAAAAAAAGTATGCATATAAATGTATGTGCATTTACTATAAAATTTTATATTTTGTATTTACTATTTTATGGATATAAAGGACATGTAGCATACAACTTACAAATGATAAAACATACAATATTCTTTACTGTAAATTCCACATAGCCAGTCAATTCTCACACCAAGTTTTCATTGACTTTTGCCAAAGAAACTCATAAATGTAGTTAGCCAATCAACAGTTGAACCTGAAGAATGATTACAGTTCCAATATGAACTATTTTATTAACATTAATAAAACACAAGTGACATATGTCAAAGGTATATGTCTAAACTCTGCTTGTCTGTCAGTGATGTGAGTGTCTTCTGTGCTAAATCAAAGAACAGTTTTCAAGTATTGAGAGAACATTAATGTTTTGTGCTACTTCACAATGTTGTAGCTACAGACATGACCTACTTTTAAATTTAATTTGCTTCACTAATTGTGTTCTCCATCACTTTAAGTCTAAACAATAAATCAAGCCCTGATTTGTAATGTTTGACGTTTTCCATGGTATAGAATACTTCCATATTGGCCAAATCCAAGCTGCCAATGAGAGGTCACCAAACATGGATTTGGGAAAAAATGGGCAGTAGCACTCTATTCTGTAGCATTTTCACCAAAGAGATACAATAGACATAAACAACCACAAGAACACAGATAAAGTAACATGTAGAAAAATATTAGAAAGCAATGAGTTTTAAGTATTTCTTGCCTGTATAAGAATTTTAGATATATAAGGAGAAATCACACATCATTCGATAAAAGTTTTATTCAATAAATGCTGCCGAAATAATTGGTTAGCTATTTAACAACATTCAAAATGTAAAACTATGTTTAGCTTATATACTGCACAAAAATAAGCCTTGGGCCACATGGACTGTAGTTTGCTGACCCCTGATTTAGATCATTGCTTCATTCATCTACAAAGATTAATTCTAGATTGACTACATATTTAAGTAAAAATACATGCATACACACAAATAAGCAAATGTATATTAAATGCCTGGCAGGAGGAAGACTATATTTAAGAGCATCAGAAGAAATTTCAAAGGGAAAGCTTTATAGATTTGACTTTTTAAAAGTGGCAGCTTAGTTAATGGGATAAACAGAAAATATGGTCCCACTTCTTAGGCTGGCACCTTTGCAGAAAATGGTTAGAGTCAGAAGACAAAGAAAATTACCACCCAGAATTTTCTATGTAAGCTGTCCTAAATGTCTCATCACTGTTATTTTTCAAAGGAGCTCAAAAAGCTATATTCTCAAAAATAGTTCATTCTTTCACAATAGTTTGAGAAATGTTTTTTCAAAGTCAAATTTGAATCTCTCCTAGTGTGATCATATACCCTTTTTTACTGGTCTTTCTGTAGTGAAAATAAAGAATTGGGCCAGGTACGGTGGCTCATGCCAGCACTTCAGGAGGCCCAAGTGGGCAGATCACTTGAGCCCAGGAGTTTGAGACCAGCCTGGGCAACATAGTGAAACCCCATCTCTACAGAAAAACACAAAAACTAGCTGGGCATGGTAACACACTCCTGTACTCCCGGCTACTCAGGAGGCTGAGGTGGGAGGACTGTTTGAACCCAGGAGATTGAGGCTGCAGTAAACCATGATTGTGCCATTGCACTGCAGCCTGGGTGGCACAGTTAAGACCCTGTTTCAAAAAAAAACAAACTAAAAAGAATAACTGACATAAATTTGTGATACATTTGAATATTCTGTCAACTCTTTTGTTATTCTGTCCCTTCTCCTCCGAAAAAGAGAAGCAATATTCAGTGTTGTGTTGTCAATACTCCATAAACAGTCAAAAAATAACCAGTGTGAGGCTCCTTAGAGGTGGTAAGGGTCTCAACAGGTAGCCAGAGCATGGAAACAGGGATCTGGGACAAGAGTGTTCAATGTTTGGTAACGAGGATGTTGGCATTCTATCAAGAAGAGGGCCCAGACACCAAACTGGAATGTAAGGGCCAGAGAGCTCAACTGCCCAGGATGGGGGACCAGAAAGAAACAGGCAGGCAAAGTCTAACCCAAGCTACTGGGCACATTGCTGTAAGAGTGACAAAAATGTTAGCCAAGGCGGAAAACCAGTTATTCAAACTGAACTGGCCAACTAGGGAGAGCGCAGGCACCAGCTTAGGAACTTGAAAGCATCCAGCAGTCCCTTGTCAGAATAGCAGTGTCCCAGTGGCAGTTGTTGATAAAGGCAACACTGCCTTTGCAGAATGCTAGAGCAAGTCAAAGACTTTGGGAGCATAATTATTTTCAGTGTCCTACAAATAACACAAGCATTACCTCGGCAGGAGTCGCATTGTCCTGTTGGTGATAGTTGTGTTAGACAGATTGAGATACAGGACCCCTGGACAGCCCTCAGAAATGTGTCTCATTGATTCATCCTACATGAAAAACAGAGGGAAGATGTTTATCAAATTCTAACAGACTTTGCAATTTCCCCGTTATCTTTCTATTATCTCTCTTCCTATTTCAGAAAAATATATATGCAAGAGTTGGTTTCTTCATACTCTTTATCTGATACTAGGTTGAAATGAAATTAAAAAGAAGCCAATACTTTTGCTCAAAGCATCATTACTCAGACCGGGTGCAGTGGCTCATGCCTGTAATCCCAGCACTTTGGGAGGCCGAAGAGTGCGGATCACAAGGTCAGGAGTTTGAAACCAGCCTGGCCAACATGGTGAAACCCCATCTCTACTAAAATTACAAAAATTAGCAAGGCATAGTGGCTCATGCCTGTAATCCCAGCTACTCAGGAGGCTGAGGCAGGAGAATAGCTTGAACCCGGGAGGCGGAGGTTGCAGTGAGCCGAGATCATGCAATCACACTCTAGCCTGGGGCGACAGAGTGAGACTCCATCTCCAAAAAAAAAAGAAAAAAAAAAGCATAATTACTCCCTCCTTTTCCCTTTCCTTGGAAATAAAATCTCATTCTATCACAATGACACTTCATTAAAATGTGAACCCATGCATGTTCAACTGTGTCACAAGAAATTTGAGCTCAAAAGCCAAAGTGTCAAACACTTCTCACTCTTCATATGCAGGAAAGCAATTAAAAATGGATCCATTTTAAACTTACAAAAATTATTCTGAAAGACAAGAATAGTAAACACTCTCAACAACAGGACTTCAGTAACAGTCCATATTTATACACATATACCTTTATACATAGATGTGTGTGTGTAATTAAGCTTCTGTGGTTCTGCTAACAAAATATTTTAAATAGCTGAACAGATTTTCACTAAATTTATGATAAATTTGAGATGGCTAAAATAAAATATTGGCTACATGCCAGCTGGAGTTGGGGTTAGGGTGAGGGAGAATCTCAAAGATTCAAGCATCCTTCCCCCTGAAAGTGCAAAACTGAAGTAAGACAGTAGTGTGACTGTGAAGTAAGAGAGACAGAAAAACAGGTTTCAAGCACAGATTCTAAATTGAAACTTACAAGACCAGATGAATTGCAAGCTTTGATTGCAATAAGCTGCTTTTTGTATAGGTAACACTATAGAAAATACAATGAGTACCAGCAGATTTTTATTTAAGGATTGATGAATCTCCCCAGAAACCTCAACAGGGCAACCAGTTTAACTATTAGTGGTGCAGCCAATGTTTGACACTACATAAGTCCTGAAAAGAATAGACCATTGCAGGTATCTATCTATCTGGAAGAGGTAAATTATGAGAAGGCTAGATGATGTAGTTCTGAGAATTCTGCATCACAAATATGGCCACTTCTCACACCACTAAGAATAGTAAAGGCTTACACTCAGCAGGATCATTGATGTTTAACATTCTATTCATTACTATTTCCAGTAGTCAGGGATTTTTAAAATAATAAAATCCTGCAGGTCAGAGCACCTGTCATACTCAGATAGGAACTGGTTGGTTTATAGGGACAGTAAATCATACCTTAAAGAGAACACAAGATTCTATTTTAAGCTGCAAACCTCTGTGATTCTGCTATAGGGAAGGTTCTATGCACCCATATTGCATGAGAGGCCAGTGCAGAGCTTTTGAGAAACATTACTCTTAACTGTATTCAAGCTGTCAGCAATTTTTCTAGATGCCCCATTACCAAAATGTAGGATTTGAATGGGTGTGGATAAAGTGTGTACAGTACAATTTTTCCAAAAAGAATGGCAAGAATAACCATAATGAGTGGCACTGTACTCTAATACAAAGAAAACCTGTCTTTGAAAACGTTCAGCATGCCAATCAAGTGTCAAAGTGATCATACACTTGTTGAAAAACCTTGGCAAAATGCAAATAAGGTTGGGCAAGGAGAGGAGAGAGAGTTGGCTTAAACACCCTCAGAGAGACAACCACAAAGAAGATGAAAATATGGGACCAGGAAGAGGAAGATGGAGTAGGAAATCTGACTTTGTGCTTGAGATGAGGAGGCAATTCATTCTCTGCATTTTCCTGTCTAGAGAAGCTTGAACGTCCAAACAAATTTAGAATACTCCCATTCTCTTGTAATTAAAAGAATTCAAGACTTAATCCCCAAATGTTTGAACACATAAATGCAAAAACTGAGTGCCTATATTGCAGAATGGCTTATGAATTTGTCCACAACATACTCAAATCCTTCTGAAAGTAATATAGTTGATAAGACAAGCTTAGAAATCAAAGCTCTTTGAATGAATGTTACCCAACTCTTTAAATGTAAGCCTGTGTCCCAGTCTACGTCTCAAGGGGAAAAAAACAGTAAAATGTAGCTGGATAAAATTATCACCCCTGTATATTATTAGACTCCAAAACTGGACAAGACTTTGATGTTCACAAACTCAATGCAGATGGCATTGTTTTGACTTCCCTATTAGAGGGTCGAACTCAAATAATATGATTTTTTACTCAAGTACAGAACTGAAGCTCCCTGAGGGCAAGAACTAAAAAATGATTTATTTTTTAATTCCCTCCGACACCTAGCAGAACATATTTAACATAGTAGGTGCTAAAACATCCACAGAAAGAATAAATCCATTTGACAAACAACCTCGTTATAAACACAGGCAGGCATCTGGAGAATGTGGTAGTCAACATCTAAAATCCCTCTTCATGAAGGAGCCTATGTTCACTTTGCTAGTGGAGAAAGAGTGTAACCAAAGAAAGTAGAACATTTTTTCACTGATATCATCTTTGTCAGGTCTGACTATGCCTCCCTTTCTTGTGGATGACCCTTAAGGGCACATTTGAACATAAACAGCTTATTTACGTCAAAGTACAAGCCACTGAGACGATGCTTAGTTTACCGTCTAGGGTGGTTCTTCATGTTCTGCTGGACAGGGATTAAACAACTAATTTAAATGCTGAATTTGTGTGTTGAGGTAAGGAGTAGAGGTGTTCTGCGGGTCTTAAAATTTTTCTGTACACATTCTATTTAAGTATAATGCCTTCCATCTTTTGAAAAGACATTTTACTGTGGAAATAGGGGATGAATTTCATGGGGAAAAATTACTAAAGGAGAATTTTCAAAGTGCTCCATTCTAAAATGGGAGATATATTGGTAGACAGTTTGAAGTATCCATGTTGAAGTACTGAGACCAATTAATTTCTCCCTCTTCTGAGTTCAGGAGAAAAGAGGGAGAAATTAATTCCATCAGCCAGGCGCGGCGGCTCATGCCTGTAATCCTAATGCTTTGGGAGGCCGAGTGGGGCAGATCACTTGAGCTCAGGAGTTTGAGACAAGCCTGGCCAACATGGTGAAACCCCATCTCTACTAAAATTACAAAAACTAGCCAGGCACAGTGACACATGACTATAATCCCAGCTACCCAGGTGGCTGAGACAGAAGAATCACTTGAACCCGAGAGACGGAGGCCATAGTGAGCCAAGGTCGCACCACTGCACTTCAGCCTGGGTGACAGAGCAAGACTTCACCTCAAAATAAATAAATAAATAAATAAAATTAGAAATTAACTATGTCAAAACGTGAATGGAACTGTATAGTGCTAGGGGGTTGAGAGAAAATGAAGGGTGACTTTTTAAATGGCATAGGTTCTTTTAGTGGTGAGGGAAATGTTCTAAAGTTGGTTGTGGTGATGGTCACACAACTCTGTCAATGTATCAAAACCATGAAATTGTATACTTTAAGTGGGTAAATTTAATCTCTATATAAATACAAATTTATTATATCTCAATAAAGCTGTTTTTTAAAGGTCACTAAAAAAAAGAGAGCAGGAAGACCCAATAGAATTGAAGAGTGTGTTAAAGAATGAAAAGGTGTTAGCCAGGTTGGGCTGGGGTGGTGGGAAAGGAAGCGTGGTCATTTAGACAGATGGAAAAACAAGTTCAAGGACACAAGGAAATAGCATGACATGAACAGGGAACTTCAAGTGGTTCAGTATTTAAATAGAGTAGAAATGGGAAAGAAAAAACTAGAAAGATGAGGCTATAAAAGTGAGGCTGAGAGGGAGCAGGGAGGAGCCAATTCATGCAGTCTTTTCACTGGCAAGGAGAGCTTCCCCTTCATGGTGGAGTTGGTGCCTCATGATTGGCATTCCACAGCCAGGCCTTCCTCCTATTCCCTTCTGTCTCCTCAGGGACTTGCTCCGTGAGTTGCTTCAGCTGGCTCTCCATCATCCTCTATAAACCTGTTTCCATTTTCCTGCCCCTGTTTTCTTCTACCACTCTCTAAGCCATTTTTCCTGGAAAGATCAGTGTATGCCTCATGCCTCACCTTCTCACCTCTTGTCCACATCACAATTCACGACAAATAGATTTCTGCTCCAATATCCCACTCAAACTGTTGTAGCAAAACATGGCAGTCCCTTCTTATTCTCAAACCTACAATGCATTTTTTAGTCCTTTTCTTACCTGTTCACTTTGGTTCTTTCTGAAACTCTTTACTCACTATCATTTTGTGATACCTCTTCATTGTCAACCTACTTCTCTTACTAATCCTTCTGAATATCCTCAGTCTGCTCCTAAAAGTCAGCATTCCCTAATGCTCACCTTTAAGTCTTCTCGTCTCATACCTTCTCTCTAAGTTTATCTTATTCACTCTTTTATTTTTTTATTTTTTTTATTTTTTTTTGAGACAGAGTTTCGCTCTTGTTACCCAGGCTGGAGTGCAATGGCGCGATCTCAGCTCACCGCAACCTCCGCCTCCTGGGCGCAGGCAATTCTCCTGCCTCAACCTCCTGAGTAGCTAGGATTACAGGCACGTGCCACCATGCCCAGCTAATTTTTTGTATTTTTAGTAGAGACGGGGTTTCACCATGTTGACCAGGATGGTCTCGATCTCTTGACCTCGTGATCCACCCGCCTCGGCCTCCCAAAGTGCTGGGATTACAGGCTTGAGCCACCGCACCCGGCTTATTCACTCTTGTGATGTTAATTATGACTTATACATAGATGTCAACCCAAGATGGAATCTCGATTCTAGCCAATGTTGTCCATTGCTTACTTGGTATCTCCAGATAATTGCATTCACTAAATATTATTGAACATAATATGCCAAAGTTTGTGCTGGGTGCTATGACTACCACAAAGAATAAGACACATCTCTTGCCCTTTGGGTCTCTTAGGCTATTGGAGGAAGCAGAAACCCTATGATTAAGGATACTTATCGTAGGAACCTAGAGGAGCAGTGGTGAACCCAGCCCTGGAAGCCAGTGATGTCCTGGTAGAAGAGGTGATAATAAGCTTTAAAACCTGACAAAGAGGAAAGCACCACTTGGGGACAAAGGGAAAGGGCATTCTAAGCAAAGAACAAATGCACAATTACAAGGAGCAACTTGGAGCATGCAGCAAAGGACACTCAGCAGCTGTAGTGACTGAAAATTAGTGTGTGCATGGAAACTGAAGCAAGTGAGGCTGGAAAGGGAAGCAGAGGCAAAACCACAGAGGGTCTTCAAGGTAGAGTAATATTAAAGAGCTTTGGCTTTATCCAATTGTGTAGATGACGGGAGTGTGTGTAGTTAACGGAAGATGAAAGTGAAGTAGTCATATCTGCCCTTTACAAAGAGTATAAAGTGCTCATAGAATGGAAGACAAGTTGGGGACAGAGGGAAAGACAAGAGACAGGAACTAGGAAGAAAGCAACTAGGGATACATGTTCATTTCCATCTTCTTGGGTATAGCTGCTGATAGCCATGAAGATAAAATGAGCCTATCATGTCTAATGGGGCCTAATTTTTTTCTGTCTCATACACACATACCATTAAATATAAATACAATTCATTGTGGATAGTCCTTGAAAAATTTCTACTTGTCAGAGGCTCCAATACTAACCATACATCTACATGATTAATATTAGCATTGTACAGATGGAGTAAAATTTCTTGTCAATGTTTAACATAGTTTGCTCTTTTCCACATTGAATCCCAAATAATCACACAACCATCTACTCTGCATATTGGACACTCCAATGTAGCAAGTCAATCTATATAAACAGCAGTAAAAATGGTTGCTTATACTCACTGTGAATGTTGGGCAGTCAGAGACATTCAACTCTTGCAAGTTCCTACAGTGGCCTAAATCAAATAAGTTACACATTACTAAACTACATATTACAAATGTTTAAACAAAGTTTTTCTATCCTACATTGAATGCAATGTATTCATTAGAAAACAAACAAAAACCTTGGCAAGTAATATGTTCTGAGTATATGGTTTCTTTTCCCAGAAAAATGACTTTTTTGGGCTGCAGAATTAAAATATATACACATGTTTATTATTGTTTGAGGATTATAGGAGCAAGGGGAAAAGAGAAAAACATTACTTTAGGAAAAACACTACTACATATACTTAGTGCTTTTAGCTTGGAAGCACTTGAAGAAAACCAGCCTGATTTTTTGTGCATGGTTTTTTGTTTTCTTTTAACATTTTAATATGAAAATTTTTAAACATACAAAAAAGTGGAAAGAACTGTATAATAAATATATAGCCACTGCCTGGATTCTAATTTATATTTTACTGTATTTGCTTTACCACATATACACCTACTCATTCATCTCTCTATACATCCCTCAATCATCTTATTTTTGTATGCATTTCAGAGTAAGTTGCAGACACTAGTAAACTTCCCCCCATATACTTCAACATGTATATAATAAATAATTCAGCATGCATAATAACAAAGCGAATAGTTGACATAATTTTTTTAGGTCAAACTTATATATGATTTATAATGAATTACAAATAGACAAATGAAGGGCCAGAGAGGCAAAGCACCTGATTAGCTCTGGGACCAGAGGCCACAGCACAGCTATGAACTCTCAGGAAAAATGAGACATGTATCCAAACAGCTAGACGGAAAAGTGTTTCACAATCAGTGTCCTGAATCTCAGTGGACAGTAAATAAAACTCCAAATCTGAGACAGAAGAGAAGTAGCTAGGGAGGCCACACAAACAAGTGACTGGGATAAATGCTTGAAGCAAAGAAAAGGGAAGGCATTCTGTGGAGACCCCAAGAAGCAGGAAAACTCCAGGCAAAGGGGTGATTCTGCATTCAAATTGCCACAACAAATAGAAAACACATTTGCTGCTCATAACCACATAGCCCCACACTAATAACAACAGACATGTTAGCAGTTATAAATCCATTTCAAACATTTCTTCCTTTGCCAAAAGTGGACTGCATCCTAAGTGATATATGCAAACCAGAAATACTTTCAGAATTTTTTTAAAAATGAAAACAATTGGTAAAAATGTATGCAACCTGGAAGTCCTCAATAATTTTGATTAAGGAGAAAATAGATTTCCCAGACAATACAAGTTATGAAATAAATGTCCTTACAGTATACAATAGTTATTCTGTTTTGTTTTTTTGAGACAGGATCTCACTCTGTCACTCAGGCCAGAGTGAAGTTGGCGCCATGTCGGCTCACTGCAGCTTCAACCTTCCAGGCTCAGGTGATCCTTCCACTTCAGCAACCCCCACTCCCATTCCCAAGTAGCTGACACTACCGGTGCATACCACCACGCTCGGATAATGTCTGTATTTTTTGTAGAGACAGGGTTTCCCCATGCTGCCCAGACTGGTCTCCTGGGCTCAAGCAATCTGCCCGCCTCGGCCTCCCAAAGTGCTGGGATTACAGGCATGAGCCATTGCACTCAGCCAGAATAGTTATTTGAGAGTAATTCATCAGTTCAACAAATATTTATCAAGGAAATACAGCAGTTAACAAAACAGACAAAAATCTTTTCCCTTAAGGAGTTAAGTTTCTAGTCAGGAGAGACTAACAGTAAACAAAAGAAGTTAAATACCATATCTACTTTGACAGATGGTGATTAACTGCTACGGAGAAAAAATGAAACAAGAAAAGGAATTGGGAGCACCCAACAAGTGGGAGGGAATGTGATTTAAAATGGGTCTGAACAGGAAGTTTTCACTGAAAAGGTAACACTTGAGCCAAGATGTGCAGGAGATGACAAGGGCAGTGCCATTGACCTCAAGCATCTCTGGAGCCTACATTCAACATGGTTGGTGATTGGGAGACAGTAGAGAATAGAAAAAAATAAGCTCAGAAAGACAACCATTCAAGTTCTACCCTTGTGTGTACATCTCAAGGCTGTGTGGAGAATTCTTTTAATTTCTTAAATCCGATGTGATGATGAACTACAGGTTTCAGTTTTTATCATGCTGAGTCCTAACATTTGTGACTATTTCCCTGGGGCTGGCCACTGTGAAGCATCTTATGCACATGAGCCTATTTTATTCTCCCAAAAATAGTAGGAGGTATCCTCAGTCCTGTTTTACAGATGCTGAATATGAGGTTAAATAACATAACTAGCCTAGGTTGATACAGTTAAGCAGGTAAGAGAGCCTTGATTCAAACTCAGGACACATTCAGCCTCTAACCCAGGCAACTAAGAGGGGCAGAAGCTTTCTACGTCACTGTTCTGTGGAACTAGACAGCCTTTGCCTTTAAAAAGTCTGTTTGTATCTGTCAATAACACAGCGCTTGCAATGTGCCTTAACTTTTAATACACATTTTTTTCTCTTCCAACCTAGGGACTCCACGTACCCCAGCTGGGTCTCATTGTTCCAGAACTGCATTAGTTAAGATTACCCAAACTTGGATTTCAAAGGAATACTTTCATTGTTCCATCTGTCACACGAAGTAATTGGGGCCAGCTGGATGTCAGGATGCGCGTGGTTACCATTGTAATCTTGCTCTGCTTTTGCAAAGCTGCTGAGCTGCGCAAAGGAAGGCCAGGCACTGTGAGAAGCCGAGTGAATCATGGCCCTGCGGGTGGAGGCCGGAGAGGCTCCAACCCAGTCAAACGCTACACACCAGGCCTCCCATGTGACGTGTACACATATCTCCATGAAAAGTACTTAGATTGTCAAGAAAGAAAATTAGTTTATGCGCTGCCTGATTGGCCTCAGGATTTGCTGCACATGCTGCTAGCAAGAAACAAGATCCGCATATTGAAGAACAACATGTTTTCCAAGTTTAAAAAGCTGAAAAGCCTGGATCTGCAGCAGAATGAGATCTCTAAAATTGAGAGTGAGGCGTTCTTTGGTTTAAACAAACTCACCACCCTCTTACTGCAGCACAACCAGATCAAAGTCTTGACAGAGGAAGTGTTCATTTACACACCTCTCCTGAGCTACCTGCGTCTTTATGACAACCCCTGGCACTGTACTTGTGAGATAGAAACGCTTATTTCAATGTTGCAGATTCCCAGGAACCGAAATTTGGGGAACTATGCCAAGTGCGAAACCCCACAAGAACAAAAAAATAAAAAACTGCGACAGATAAAATCTGAACAGTTGTGTAATGAAGAAGAAAAGGAACAATTGGGCCCGAAACCCCAAGTGTCAGGGAGACCCCCCGTCATCAAGCCTGAGGTGGACTCAACTTTTTGCCACAATTATGTGTTTCCCATACAAACACTGGACTGCAAAAGGAAAGGTTTGTACTTTTCTTGCTTTTTCATTTTCATGAATAACTTAAAATGGTCTTTGAATCTTATAATCCTCCCTACACCCGACCATGCCTTGGAATTCTTGATGTCACTTCCACCAGAAATCTTTCCCTAGTGACAATAGAATTTATCCAAAGCTTTTCTGGGGTCCAGACTCAAGGCAGTTGGTAATCCAAGGACAATGACAGGAGGGAAGGAAGTATCCTCAGGAGGGCAGCCATTTGGGTTCTACTCATTTGCACATCGCAAGCTGTCACTGTAAGGAATTTCTTTCATCTTAAATCCAATTTAATTTAGGTAGGTAAACCAAGGGGTGTGAAAATAAGTGCATATGCCATCTATATAACCCGACTTACACGGATTATAGTCAAAACATGGTGTGCATCTGTGAGATGACAACCTCAAAGAGAAAACATCTGCAGAACAGGACTGTGACAGCACTCTGAGACAGAGTGAAAGTAATGGCGCTTCCATATTTCTCATCATTTAGTCCCAGCTTTTAATTAATGCTCCATTTTTTTTTTTTTTGAGATGGATTCTCACTGTGTTGCCGGAGTTGGAGTGCAGTGGCACGATCCTGGCACACTGCAACCCTCACCTCCTGGGTTCAAGCGATTCTCCTGCCTCAGCCTACCAAGTAGTAAATGCTTCTTAACATCCTATATCTTAATTATTTCCAAATTACCCGGAATAAAACAACAAAAATGTAAAGAACTAAATTTAAAATATTTAATCTGAGAACTATGAGACTAAAGAAATCTTTCTAGAATATTACCTACTCCCTGCAAATCATTACTGGGTTTTGCAACCCATGCAATTCTTGTGCTAGTATTACACAGGATGTGCAAATGCAAGATAAAGTCATGAGCTAAGAAAACAGATGGGAGATTTTAGTAATGCTCTTGACGTGCCAGTGAAGATCGATGTTCTCAAAGTGTAGTCAGGGAACTGCTAATCTAACCTACAATAAAAAACCATGTAACAAATGTCTGTATGTTTCATTTCTGGCATGGTTTAATAATTTATTTGTAATATTAAATTAAAGCCAGATGTCATTAAATGAGGTTCATATAGAACATGGTATCATTTCTTCCACTTACATTGGGAAATTTTGCTGTGTTTTGTTTCTTTGAGGGCAAGAGAAATGGATAGTTCAGAGAGGAAGCCCTGGTTCCTCTCAAGAGAATGTTAGGCAGGCATTATTAACATTGTCACGCAACCTGAACCAGAAATAAATTTTCTCATTTACCAGCAAAGTCATGTTCAAGCCCTGTCCCACCATCCCGCACCCCCACCCCCAATTGTAAAGATGGCACCTGGTTAGATCCCACAGCAGCCATGTGGCACAGGGAGGTTTGTTTACCAAGACACCCTGTGAACTGTATATAATTCACTGCCATAGGAGAGCAGTTATATATAGCTTCATAACCTGGGACATGCCATTCTTGGCTCCAGGTACCCACACATGCTGTCCACAACTTCCAGGAAGCTAGTAATATTCCCATTTACAGATTAGGAAAATGAAGCTCAAAGAGGTTCAGTCACTTGACCATGGGTTTCACAGGTAAGCACCAAAGCTAAAATTGAATCTTGGGGTCTACCTAAGCCACAGCCTATGCGCTCTCTACTTCACACTGCTATCTTCCAAAATTAATCTGAGCATATTCAAACAATCAGCTGCCTCAACAATGCACACATTAGAAAATTTCGAAGAGTCAGTAAATATAGTTTTTCTGTAGCCAGATTGTGTAGAATTTCTCAGATACTGTTATCACGAGTCCTTAGTGCTTCATGCTGAAGAGCTTGTTTATTAGAATTTCCTTCGTGGTGCTTAGATTGAAAACTGGAATTGTATATTTTTAATACTAATACAAAGCTACTATCCTAGATTTTAGTTAGAATGCTTGATATTGCTGAGGTTCTAACCTCAAGCTACAGTGAATTTGCACTTGCTATATCAGATATAAATGAGAAAAGTAGGTAGAATTAAGTTTATTAATTATCTGAGAAAAACACCATCTATACAAGATTTAAAACTTCTACAATGAGACTACACTGTGCTCTAAGAAGAAATGACATGTTAGGAATGTCTCTTTTTCACTGCTTTTATGCTCTTGGGCTATTCCTTCCCCCAATAAGCCTATTTCTGCTTTTTTCCTTTTTTCCCCATAATATTGTTTCTTTTTCTCTTGAAAAACTTCAGCTTATAAAAATAAAAGTACATTTTATTGCTTTCTTTAACTTATTGTTGTCTAACATAACCTTCCAGAAATGCTCCATAAATTCATAACCTTGCTTTAAAAATATGCATCATTTACTGAAACACAATATAAATAAGGTTTCATGATATACACACTTAGCATATATAATACTGGGTCATCAAAGGACAACATAAATTCCTCCAAGTATTAATGACTATGTAATTCAGAGCCTATTATTTTAGATCATAAGTGAAGGGTAGGCCAGGCGTGGTGGCTCATGCCTGTAATCCCAGCACTTTGGAAGGCTGAGGCAGGCAGATCACTTGAGGTCAAAAGTTTGAAACCAGCCTAGCCAACATGGTGAAACCGGCCAGGCGCAGTGGCTTATGCCTATAATCCCAGCATTTTGGGAGGCCGAGGCAGGCAGATCACAAGGTCAGCAGTTCAAGACCAGCCTGACCAACATGGTAAAACCCTGTCCCTACCAAAAAAATCAAAAAAATTAGCCAGGTATGGTGGCACACACCTGTAATCCCAACTACTCAGGAGGCTGAGGCAGGAGAATCACTTGAACCCAGGAGGTGGAGGTTGCAGTGAGCAGAGATCGCACCACTGGAGACTGTACTCCAGCCTAGGAGACAGAGCAAGACACTGTCTCAAAAAAAAAAAAAAAATGGTGAAACCCCATTTCAAAAAAAAAAAAAAAAGGTAAGATGGTAAGTTTTGTTTTATGTGCATTTTGCCACAATTTAAAACTTTAAAAGGTAACATGATTTAAAAATGAAGCAACACAATGAATTTTCCATTTGTTGACTATCCTAGTGGCAAAGATAAGTAAAATGAACAATTCTTAGTGATGGAGAGGGTTAAGGAAAAGAGGAACTACATATCCTTTTCTTGTACAACTCGCCTTGAGGGGAGCGATCTGAAATATGGATCAAAATGTCAAAAATGTAGCCCTTGACCAAACGAGGGGGCCTTCATGTCCTGCACTTCTGGGCTACATTTGCTGGCTCTGAGTGAACTCCTGCAGCTTCAAAGAATGCCCTGAGACGCTTGCAAACCTTGGGAAAGGGGGCTCACTGTCAGTGTGGGTCCAACCTTGGCGAACTGCCCAATGCCACTGGGCTGAACTGAGAGCTGGCGGAGGGGTGTGTGGCGGGGCTTGCAAGGCGCCTGCTGCAGGAGGGAGGGAGGACAATGGGAGCAGGTGCAGGCGTGGGTCTCGGATATAGGTCCCCAGCTGGGAAGAGGAGTGCATTCCTGATGACTTCTGTTTTTCCAATCTAGTATGAAATGTCACCACCTGAGGGCTGGAGACAGGGCAATTCTGAGAAGAAAGGAAACGGTGTGGAGAGTTGCGCAGGGGGTCCAGCCTCTTGAGAAAGGACCAGGAGAGCCGGATCGTTCTGAGGCTCTTTGGGGCTGGTAGTCCTGAGTTTTCAGTGGCTCCCTTCTGCGCGGTGTGGGCTGTGCTCCAGTGGTTCTCAGTTGCATGAGGCAGGAGCAGAGGAGGCAGATGCTGTGTTCAGCCCTGATACTGATGTGGATAATGTGGCATGTGGACACAAGAGAAGGCTGAGAGTATAAAGTGGTGAGGGCAGCACCAGCTTCCCCACAGGGCTGCAGTGAGGACAGAATACCACTGTGTACAGAAGTGACAGCACAGTTCCCAGGTGCTAGACGAAGCTTCCTGCCATCCTTCCCTTCCCTTCCCATCCCACCATCCCCTGAGAGCACAAAAGCTGAGATTCCTGGATGGAAGTGGAGCCACCCTTCATAGAGGGCACCTGTCCTGTGGCAAGGGAGGAAGTTTCAGGGTCCCCACCTGCTCCCCAAAGCCCTTTCCTTAACAACCTCCTTGCCCATTGCAGAGATTGGTGCGGGCGTCACCGGTTTCGGCATCTTCTTCATCCTCTTTGGAACACTCCTGTACTTTGATTCTGTGCTCCTGGCCTTTGGAAACGTGAGTCCCCCAGCCCTGTGTCCCCACTCCCCTGCCCCAATCTTTCTGAAGTCTCCATTGCCAGGATAGTCCTGGCAATAATGACTTAAAGTTTATTTAAGTCTTTAAATAAATCCCAAGTTTATTCAGGCCATGCCCATCCAGAGTCAGACATCATCAAACCTGGGCAGAGGACGGCATAGGAAATGGACACAGAGCCTGCTGGCACCAAGAATCTGAGGACCTGGGTGCTCACACTGAGCTCTGGGCGAGACCCTGGGGGTTCTAAGGAGACTCAGGCACTGTCCCTGCCATCTGAATCCTGCTCCGGGGCTAGGGATATAACACTACATACATGGCTGAGAGGAAGGCAGGGGCCGTGGTAAAGTCACAACAGGTTAAACACATTTAATGTGAAACAAGGGGCTTAGTGGAAAGAGGGCACACTGAAGTGGAGAAGGATGGAAAGGAATGTGGAAAGGAAATGGATGTGGAGGTGGATAAAGCACTTCCAGGGAGATTGGAACAGCAAGAGAAAAGGTATACAGAAGGAGAAGGGAATTATGGGATGTGCTGGAAGAAAACCAGAGTTCAAGTTGACGAGAGCCTGAGCACTTTCAAGGGATCATTAGGATCCCAGCTGAAGACAGGGCATCCAGCGGAAGGACTGGAGGGTTATTCTGTAGGTGGTGGAGCCTCTGAAGGTCCGTGTGACTTTCAGTATGGCTGCCTAACCTACTAAGGCCTCAAACTTCACTGCTGTAGAATAAAAATCTCACTCGATACCACCTTCCCTAGACGGTATGGTGAGAAATGAAGTCCCATCTGAAAAAGGGCTTGGGCTCCGGGAATTGGGTGGGCCACTAGAAACGGGCGGAGGTTCTCGTCCATCACCTTGCCTCTGTGCAGTCTTGTTTCCAGCAAGACTTACCAAGGTTCTGGGATCCTGCCACATTGCTGGACGGCCCTTGCTCAGATGGTCTGGAAGAGTTAGCACATCCTGCCCCTGCCCACAGCTTGGCTGCAGGCCTGAGCCCCCCACTCCTCAGGGGGCTGGTGGGTCTCCTTCAAGCTCCCCTCCCTCCCCCACAGCTGCTGTTCCTGACGGGCCTCTCCCTCATCATCGGCCTGAAGAAGACCTTTTGGTTCTTCTTCCAGCGGCACAAGCTCAAGGGAACCAGCTTCTTCCTGGGGGGTGTGGTTATCGTGCTCCTACGCTGGCCCCTCCTGGGCATGTTCCTGGAAATCTATGGATTCTTCAGCCTGTTCAAGTGAGTGCAAAGCCCTATAACCCTAGACAGACCCACCAAAGGGTCTGAGTGGCTGAGATGACCCCAGCAGGGTAGTGCAGAAGCTAGGACTTTATCCTGCAAGAGATGAGAACTGTGGACACTGTGGAGAGGCCCCTAAAGCAAGCTGAAAGGTACTTTGGAGGGATTAGCCTGTCAATCAACAAATATCGATAGAGCTCTGACTGCGTTCCCAGTGCTGTGCCTGTGAGTAGGGAAGAGACACAAAGCCTGCCCTCAAATCTCAGCGATCCAGCTGGAGAGGAAGGGCAGTGAGCTAACACGGCCAGGCACGCTCATGATTTTATCTGATCATCTGATTTTATCACAACAACCCACTATAGGATTCTCCTCTACTTCACACACAAGAAAACCAACATTCAGAGAGGTTGCCCTGGCCTGAGGTCTCAAACTGGTATGTGACAAAGGTCGTTCTTGAACCCAGGGGGCTCTGGCTCCTGGCCCCTGTGTCACCCCCTGGCCTGGCCTGTGTCAGCCCTGGGCCTGTGAAAAGGCAGGGTGAAACTCAGCCGTGATGTGTGGCCGCTGTCAGGTCTGCAGGCACTCAGAGGGGAGCCCAGAGTGACGTTGTAGAGGAAGCGGGACTTGAGAGAAACCTTGAGGGATAGGGAGGGTCTCAGAGAAGTCTGGAGGGTGCTGGGGAAAGAAAGGAAGGGTCCTAGGGAAAGCGGGGCGGGAAGGAAGACTTCATATGTCTATAGGGTACAGTGGAGAGGATAGGCGTGGGATGGGGACAACGGGGACTGGAAGAATGATGAGAATGATGGCTTCTGCAAAGGAAGGGAGTGGGGCTCGGAATCCCTGGGTTCTCATAGGAGCCCCTGTTTGCTGAATGCAGCCTTGAAACCACCGATTGGCCGGAATGGCTTAAGCCTCAAACATCGGGAAGTGTGGCTTTAAATTTTCTCACGTATACCTGCCATCTATTTATTCCATATTCAAATATATCATTTTTCAGCTGGGCGCAGTGGCTCACGCCTGTAATCACAGCACTTTGGGAAGCTGAGGCAGGTGGATCACTTGAAGTCAGGAGTTCGAGACCAGCCTGACCAACATGGTGAAACCGTATCTCTACCAAAAAAAAAAAAAATACAAAACTTAGCCAGGCATGGTGGCAAGCACCTGNATGGTGAAACTCCATTTCTACTAAAAAAAAAAATAGGCATGGTGGCAGGCGCCTGTAATCCCAGCTACTCGGGACACTGAGGCACCAGAATTGCTTCAACCCAGAACACAGAGGTTGCAATGAGCCTAGATCATGCCACTGTACTCCAGCCTGGGCAAGACTCTATCTCAAAAAAAAAAAAAGATTAAGGGTAGCTTTGTCTTTTAATATTATCAATACAAATGGCTTTCACTATGGTTTAAATCTAGTGATTCATTTCATCCTTTATTTTTCATTTTTTGTTATATTGCTGATTCCCATAAATTCAAAGGGAAAAGTCTTGTTTATTAAATTCCCTTTGGTAGTGCCTGTCACAGAGCCATGTGCTTTAGATTGATGATGATAACTGGACTGTTCTTCTTTATTCTTTCAAAGCAGTAATTTAAGCAACGTTTGAAGGTAAAAATACAGCAAAGTTAAAAATCATGGTTAGAATTAAAGTGTGACAACCTGAGGCTCTGTACAGTATACCACATGTACATGATCACACATAGAGAACTTGCATACAGATTCCCCAACTCAGAGTTGAGCCTGGCCCAGCTGACCTGCAATGAGTCAGACAGTGTGTGTAGTAGACCTAACATGTGCCAGTTCAACCACAAAGACCTCAATGATCACTATGTATTTTTGCCTTAAATATCTAATGGCAAGAAAAAGAAATAATAGCTTTATTCACTAAGAAACAGATTCTTTGCCAACAAATCCTAGTTTTTCAAAGGGAATAAATGTGAGACTAGTTGAAAGGCATATTTATGCAATATTGAGGTTAAAGAATTGCCAAGAATATATGAAAGCCAGAGTTTTTAAACTGCTTTCAGCTTCACATTGACCAGAATAGTTTACCATTTTTAAGGAGTTGTTTTACTTCTAACATCAGACAAGGGAAAATTATGCAGGTAATTCCCTTAGCTGCCTCCAAAGTTAAGGGAACAAGATTACTGCAGCTTGAACAATAGTTAAGAATTTAGTATTTGCAATAAACAGGGCCACTTATGTCTCTTTTCTTACTACTACCAAGCTTTCAAGACAGTTCTGAGGTTGCTGACAACGAAGATAGCCTGCTAAATGGGGAAATTGCCTGGAGAAATTTTCTAATTTCCTTCTCAAAACCAACAAGGTTTGGTTGGAGGAGGAAAAAGGCTTGTAAGGGGTAATAATATGGTATTTGTTGAGGCATTTACCAAGAATTTGGGGTAGCAGTATATATGAAATATGCATACCAAGTGGTGCCTGGGTTAGAAAAAGGGGCATTGATCAAATTTGCCTTCTGGTTTGGGGAAATGTGTATTTATATACTCTTTATCAAGAGCAAACATACTTTGCATCAATATTTGCAATTCTCATTCAAGTTCTAAGGTAAAAGAACTAAAGAATTCTCCTACTCATCAACACAGCAAATGAGATTTTCCTGTGTTTTTCCAAGCCACACTAGGAAAGCCTTTGCTTTGCATTTCCTGGTATTACTTGTGGATGTTATTTTTACCCAGGGCTGTTGCTGACAATCCCAAAATGGATTCTGCAGTTTATATTCTTTTTCCAGCACCCACAGATTTGCCACATTGCCTAGGCTGAGTGTCAGGGTGTTCTCATAAACATTTTTTTCTACTCATTTATTTGTGGTTAACCCACTTTAGCTTGCCCTACAGTGGTTGCTCTGTAATCCACCCTCATGTCCAGCCCAGCAGATGTGGGTTCATTAAGCAAGTCCTGATAAACAGGCTGCTTTCTACAACCTAAAAGGTGCTGACTCTGGTGACAAGGATGACCTACAGGTCTTAATGGCTTTACAGGGCCTTAGTGAGGACTCTGGCTTTCATCACAGTGAGATGGGAAGTCACTGGAGGATTTGTTAGGCTTTGATAAAATGTAGCATATGCTAAGGCTTGTTTCAAACCAACTTTCTTTGGCTTTAGATATCTCTCACCCCTTCTCTGTAAGGGCTGATTCTTCAATCACACAGATACAATGGTGACCGAGAAAATGGAGGCATAAAGAGCATAATAACCTAAATATTATTAAATTTTCTAGAGTTGAAAAAAGTGCCAAACAACATCCCTCCAGATATTGTTAAACTTGACTTGTCATACAATAAAATCAACCAACTTCGACCCAAGGAATTTGAAGATGTCCATGAGCTGAAGAAATTAAACCTCAGCAGCAATGGCATTCAATTCATTGATCCTGGTAAGTTTCCCTGAATAGCCCCTTCAGTGGGTGGGCAAATGTTCCGTGATTTTTTTTCTATGGCAACACTTATATACAGTAAATAAATTTAGTGTAAAAATAACTGAACTAAACTAAATAATAAAAAATGTACGAGGTTGAATTAAACATGACACTTATACTAGGAGTTGTTTGGCACTCAAAAAAATACTTGCCAAAATGCTGCTTTATGAAGTATGTAATATCACATATTACTAACCAATATTTATTCAGTTAGCCCAAATACCGTGTTATAGAATAGATTTTAAAAGTAATATATGGCAAATGATCAACAGTATGCTAAAATGTAGTGATTTTTTAAGGGAATTTCAAAGTTGGAATTTTCTTTGCTATTCATTAAGCCCCACCTTGTTTAGAATAAATTAGAAACAAACTGCTAAGCACTGAGCTCATCAATTAGGATAAAATGTGCTCAAACCAGAGCCAGACATACTATATCTAGTCCTAGATCAAGACCAATTCTCTTTTACATCCTTCAAATCTCTTCTCCATTTGCTAAGGAAAGCCTCTGGCGAAAATGAGCTTGGTAAATTAAGTAAACACATTAGATTTGGAAAGAACTGAAAATTACTGCAATACTGACCAGATTTATAACATATATAATACACGTGCCTTCACTATGCTACTTCAATTTGAAAAGTTCTATGAAAATGATTATTAAAATTATTAATAATGTAATATGTTATAAGCATTTTGAGTATAATTGTTTCCCCTGCTTTTCTTCATGATAATCTACTACCATTAATAGAATATTAGAATTTTAACACAATAAAAGTGAAAAATTAAAATGAACATTCTGGAGCCACAAAGGGATATTTTAGAATTAACATATTTTTAAAAATTAGAAAATCATAATTTTTTATAACTTCCCAAGGGAAAGCAGTATGCTACACGTAAACCTTAGCCTGTTACAGATGATGTAAACTTGGAAGTATGTTTGAATTGTGAAGTCAAAAGCAATTTTCATTTCTCAGTAAATGAGAATACTACAGATACCCTTCTCCCAAATGAAGCGAGCATTATATTAGTGTGCAAGTCAGTCACTGCTAGCCAGTCTCCACAAAGCCAGGCCACAGGGTAAAGAATCCGAAATTAGAGGCCGGGCATGGTGGCTCAAGCCTGTAATCCCAGCGCTTTTGAAGGCCAAGACAGAGGGATCATGAGGTCAGGAGTTCAAGACCAGACTGGCCAAATGGTGAAACCCGTCTCTACTAAAAAATACAAAAATTAGCTGGGCATGGTGGCTTGTGCCTGTAATCCCAGCTACTTGGGAGGCTGAAGTAGGAGAATTGCTTGAACTGGGACCTGGGAGGTGGAGGTTGCAGTGAGCTGAGATCGTGCCTCTGCACTCCAGCCTGGGCTATAGAGTGAGACTCCATCTCAAGAAAAAAAAAAAAAAAATCTGGAAGTGGAGACCCTTTCTTGCAAGAAAAGTTCACTTTGACCCTTTATAATTCCATCTCTTGCTTGACCAATCAGCACTCCCCACTTCCCAAGCCCCTACCTGGCAAATTATCTTTAAAAACTCTGATCCTGGCCAGGCGTGGTGGCTCATGCCTATAATCCCAGCACTTTGGGGGGCCATGGCGGGCAGATCACCTGAGGTCAGGAGTTCGAGACCAGCCTGGCCAACATGGTAAAACCCCATCTCTGCTAAAAATACAAAAATTAACCAGTTGTGGTGGCAGGTGCCTGTAACCCCAGTTACTTGGGAGGCTGAGGCAGGAGAATCACTTTAACCCAGGAGACGGGAGGTTGCAGTGAGCTGAGATCGCACCATTGTACTCCAGCCTGTGTGAAAAGAGCAAGACTTCATCTAAAGAAAAAACAAAAAACAAAACTCTGATCCCCAAAAGCTCAGGGAGACTGATTTGAGTAATAATAAAACTCCAGTCTCCTGAACAGCCAGCTCTGCATGAATTATGCTTTCTCCATTGCAATTTCCTCTTGATAAATCAACTCTGTCTAGGGGGTGGGCAAGGTGAACTCATTGGGTGGTTACAAACCAAAGATTGACAGGACAAGCAAGCCATTCCAAAGGTCCTTGGTCAAGAGTCTAATTTCCTTCTGCTGTCCTCCACAAGCAAAACCATAGTTTACCAACCATCAGTGCAAACAAGTTTTAGAGCTGTCTCAAAAAAAGATTATAATACTTATTATATGTCCTAAGTCAAATGTATTAAAGTAATGAGTAACAGTGTGACAATGTTTTAATTACAACAAAATTAGTATGTAAAGAAAACTTGAAAAAAATGAGAAGGCAATGCAGAGACACATAACAGTGCAAAATGGACTCGCCTTGCTTCTCCTGATAGTTTTCACATGTTTCCCCTAACTGATACTTTTCATCAGTTATGGAATTCCCATAATTGCAGGGATTCATTTTCTGTCCTTAGGATCCCCTGAAGGCCTTTTAATCTTGTTCACCAAATGTGTGTTCCCTGCTGACATAAAATGGTCTCTACTAACAGCAATGGTACTTCTTTTTCCCCTTTGTTGAATTCACTCTCAGGAAAGAATTTCCTACATTAGTAAATATTTACTGAGCACCCAGCAAATGCCAACCACTTTCTTAGAATGAAAAAGTTCTTCTGGAACAAAAAAGTATCTCAGCACTTAAGGCAAAATAACCTAAAGAAATTTTAAAATGAAAGTTCACCTATATTTCAGGGTCTCTGAGATGAAACCCTGCAAGTAAACTTACTTTAATGATTTTTGCTGGTAAGTATACAAATGCAGTGGGAGTCGCCAGACTTTAAAAGACGTGAATAATAATCATATAAAATGCCAGACATTGTTGTGGAAAAGATACCCTACTAGGGATTTTTTATCTCCTTTAAGAAACAGAGGAAAACTAGTTTTCCCAAGTGCCTGAATATATATGGTTTAAGTAACAATATACAGAATTTTCAAAATAAAATCTAGGAATGTTTACATATGCTTTTAATCTCAAGGTCTAATGTCTTGAGAAGAGTAAATCTGTGAGATCACTGACTCACAGAATTTTAGCAAACAGAAAAAAATCCAGTATCTTCAGAACACAAGGGCAGACCTTTTGTCCCCTACCCCTAAGACGTTGCTTGGTACCAAAATAGAAAGTTATTTTTCTAAGGGGGAATTATGGGTTTTTACTGAGAGAACATAAGATGAAAATAGTTAATAATATTAGTATGACCACATATTTTCCTAATTCAAAATATGCTCTACAATGGTATTTTAAAACAATAATCAAATAATGTTTGAAACAGAAATGAAATATTTAAAACCATCTATTTCTGGAGTATCTGGCTGGTCTGTATCAACTGGAATAGAGATAACCTAGGTGTAGATTTCTTTGCTCTTAGAAGGGGGAAAAAAGCTTTTTGTTGTTTTATTTTCAGTTATATTTTATATTGGTTTTAATTATCCAACCTCCAGCAAAATTAAATACATATGGATTCAAAGCCGATAGCTACCATAGTTTGCCAAAATACAACCAGATGTTTTCAAAATGTTGGAAAAGTTGTTATTTTTGGACTCTACGGGAATAGAACCCTTCCCCCAACACTGGGATAAGGTTGTTTTCTAGGTATTTTCAGATTTACTGATAACCCAGGGAACTGTCAAATCACCACCAGGCATATTTTTCATTTTTTTTCTGCACTTATGTCTTACGTGTGAAATATTTTCTTAATTCACGTTTCTTTTTTGAGTATCTTCTTTTTCCCAGTAAGTACAAAAAAAAGAAAAAGAGCCCAAAATACATCTTAAAAAGCTAACTTAAAACTGATTTTTCAAACAAAATACTGTATTCTAGTCAAACTAATCAAGGGAAAAGCTTTGAGTAACAGTATATTTTACAATTTTGCAATTAGATACGTTTACAGTGGAGAAATATAATTAAAAACAAAACCTTCTTTCAACCCAGAAAATATCTCCACAAAGGTAGTAAAGAAAGAAAAACGTTCATTACTGACTAAGCATTAAACCAGAATGTGATGCGTATCATAGGCAATCCACTGAGAGACTGCAAAGACTCTCGACCCTATGTAACCAAGCAGATACCACCCATTACATACATGTTTTCAGGACAAACAATAATGAGTCCTTAAGGAAGAAGATTTGACACCACATTTTGTCACACATAATTCATCCTAACTTTACCTGTTAAATGGGGTGACTATCTGTGTTAGTTTACTGGCCTTATTCAAAGAAAAATAAATTTCTGTCTCCATGACAGAAGGTAGTTTTGCAAATAGAAGCAAGACCTCACCAAAGTTAGGACCCACCCTGCCACAGGAGCTGGAAGATGGAGGTACCATCTTCCTTGACGTTTATATTTCAAAGAGATAGCTCCCAGGTCCTTGAAAAAGACATTCTTGCATCATAAAGCTGACAAAAAGCCTATCTAGTCTTCAAAAGGATTTAAAGACATTTCAAAGAGAGGAGAAAGTACTAACAGTTAAAAGTTTTCTAACGTAAGAGCTCTGGGAAAAAAGAAGGGAAGAGACATCTCTTTCTTTTCAAAGGGGAAAATTAAGCCTCTTTTTAAAATTTTTATTGGTCCTTAGGATATACCATGCAGTGTATTAACTCAATTACTCAGGCTCAATAAATATTTTCTGTTTCCAGCTGCTTTTTTAGGGCTTACACATTTAGAAGAATTAGATTTATCAAACAACAGTCTGCAAAACTTTGACTATGGCGTATTAGAAGACTTGTATTTTTTGAAACTCTTGTGGCTCAGAGATAACCCTTGGAGATGTGACTACAACATTCACTACCTCTTCTACTGGTTAAAGCACCACTACAATGTTCATTTTAATGGCCTGGAATGCAAAACACCTGAAGAATACAAAGGGTGGTCTGTGGGAAAATACATTAGAAGCTACTATGAAGAATGCCCCAAAGACAAGTTACCAGCATATCCTGAGTCATTTGACCAGGACACAGAAGATGATGAATGGGAAAAAGTACATAGGGATCACACTGCAAAGAAGCAAAGTGTAAGAATTATTATATTGGGATAAGATAGAAATTTTTCTGATTGTAATTAGTTTTGTATTTTCCATACTGGTGTTAGAAAACATATGTTTACATTTTTGATTAACTGTGTTGCCTATTTATGCAGGGTTATCCAGCTAAAGGAAGCTTTCTTTAATGATGATAAGTATTATTGTTGACTCTTATAGTAATCAAGAGAATACTGACATCCTGCTTGCCTGTCCATTTGTGGAACAGCATCTGGTGATATGTAATTCCACACCAGTAACCTGCAGCAGCTGGGTCCTAATGATGGCATTAGACTTTCATAATGTCCTGTATAAATGCTTTTACTACTTTCTGAAAATAAAAAAAAAAAACTTGGTTCATTTTTACATGCCTTTTGATAGCTGTGCATACCTAAAGATGATCAAAATGATTTTATACAAAAAGTAGAGGGGTGGGTCATTCCCCACCCCTCTACTTTTTTTCAGTAAATCATCTTAAAATTTAAATAAATTTTCATTTCTGATTTCTGTACATTCCAAAATAAGGTCCTGGTACATCCAAATGCTCAACCACTTTTCACTAATCCTTGCAAAATACTGTCAAGCTAGATCTGAGAGAATTGTCACAAACAACAGATAGAGAATGTGAGAATTCTATTGGAAGCTAGGACCGTGATTAACAGCTGTAGATGGTGTGAAGCATGAGCCCTGAAGAGGTATAGACACCTGTGAATGTGAAAAGAGCATTTGTGTATTTGTGTGTGTGTGTGTGTGTGTGTGTGTGTGTGTGTGTTTTACGTAGAGTTCATATTGGGAATCCACCTGTCCATGAGAAAGGGCACTTCCTGCTAAGCTAGTATATCGAGAAACATAAAACAAAGAATGAAATTAGGATTTAGGGGCAGTATTTGGGATGAAGCCAGAACAAAAACTAGGAAATAATATGAGGCCACTGAGGGAGGAGGTGGTGCCCAAAAGAAACCCCGAGATTTGGGTTTGCAGGTTAAAATGAGCTCACCACTAGATCACCAGCAAAAGAGGAAATCCATGGAGGATTTTAGACCCTGATCCCAACAGTTTGCATTTAAATAGTCATATTCTACGTAGAGAAAAAAATAAAGTGAAAAGAAATATATGCATGCCCTCAGTAAGATACTACTTTTTCCTTTTAATATACATTTTCCTTTCATGCTGAGTTAATACATTTTCATTTCTTGTATCAAGGCATTCCTACAAAGTTTAGCAAATAACCACCTTATTTGATACTTGTGCAAACTCCCAAAGCATGGAAAACAGTATATAAAAATTAGTTTTAGGTACTTTTTTATTTTTCGAGATGGAGTGTCACTCTGCTGCCCAGGTTAGAGTGTGGTGGTCCAATCTCGGCTCACTGCAACCTTCTTCTCCCAGGTTCAATCAATTCTCCTGCCTCAACCTCCCAAATAGCTGGTATTACAGGTGCTCGCCACCATGCCTGGATAATTTTTGTATTTTTAGTAGAGACAAGGTTTCACCATGTTGATCAGGCTGGTCTTGAACTCCTGACTTCAAATGATCCTCCTGCCTCAGCCTCCCAAAGTGCTGGGATTACAGGCATAAGAACCACGCTTAGCCATGCACTTTTTAAGCACATGCTAGAGGCCGGTCACTGTGCTAAGAGCTTCACATATTCTACTTCTAATTCTCACAAAATCCCTCTGAGGTAGGTAATACTGTCTGCCTTTTATAGATGAGGAATCCAAGGTGGAGATTTTGGGTAACTTGGATAAAGTCACACAGCTGGCAAGTGGCAAGGCCAGGATTCAGATCCGCCTAAGCCCCTTCTGCTATGCAGGGCTGCAGAGCATTCTAAAAGTCACCCTTGTCTGTGGCTGCCTGGCACCAGAACTTCCAGAACCAAACCCCAAAGCAGAGCAAGTACCCAGGAAGGTGGGGGAGCACTCATGAGGGCAGTTGGCAGGAGAAAGTTTTTTGTCTAAGATCTAAATAGATCTGTATTTATATATAGGAAACCAAGAGAGTGGGAACTGGAAGAACTGCCAGAGCTAATGCTTCAGTAAATAACTCTGGATTGTGAGGTCCTATTTTTATTTATTTATTATTATGATTATTTGAGACAGAATCTCACTCTGTCATCCAGGCTGGAGTGCAGTGGTACAATCTTGGCTCACTGTAGCCTTCACCTCCCAGGTTCAAGCAATTTTCCTGCCTCAACCCCCGGAGTAGCTGGGATTACAGTCGCCTGTCACCACACCTGGCTAATTTTTGTATTTTTAGTAGAGATGGGGTTTTGCCATGTTGGCCAAGCTGGTTTTTGTTGCCCAGGCTGGTCTCGAACTCCTGACCTCAGGTGATGCGCTCGACTCAGCCTCCCAAAGTGCTGGGATTACAGGCATGAGACACCATGCCCAGACTGAACCATGGGGTTCTAACCACTCTGCCCAGTGGTTTGGGTCAGAAGTGGACTTAGAGATATTACTTCTCCATGCAAATCCCTACATTCGTCACTATGAGGCATGGTAGCCAACTATTACATTTCAAATGTTACCAGAGAGATGTAACAAATTCATTTATTATTGTTCATGAGCCTCAGAGTGGACTTTTAAGGACATAGGACCTGAAAGAGCCAAGATTTGATGATGGGAAAAGCCTGGTGTGACCTCCATCAGAGACAGGAGGATTACATTGGAGGCAAGAGGATTCTGGAATGAAATGAGATGAAATCTGATTCAGAGAAAGGGCCCAAGTTGTTCTTTGGTATAATTTTTAGACGCTAGTTAGGGATTTTATTGGTTGATTTTTATATTCAATTTAATCCCCAGGAATGCATGTGGAAATAAAGCTCCTGAACACATCAAAACAGAAATTAACACAGGCGATCCAAAGGTAAGTCAGTAGGCATTGCTAACATCTCTCAGGGTCAAGACTGAAGTGAATTTTTAAATCTTAAGATCTGCCCCTTTTCTACATCAATGTTAATACTTTTTCAGGGAAGTGTAGTTGATTTGTGACGGAATGAACAATTAGACACTTCCTCTTCCACCAATTTCTTACTTGATAGTTACTCTAATAACTTGCCTTTGGCTGTCTCTTTTTTACGACAGACAATACAAGTTCATGGGGTTACAAAAACAAGTATACTTTATGGTAGTAAAAGATATGACTATCCTGAGATACACATATTTGAATTTATATATCACTTGGGTATTTGGACAAAGTAAGTTTAAAAAAAAATAAAACTTTCCTACTAGTCCTAAGATTCTCTGATTTTTGTGAAATAAACAAGATTTACTATGAATGGAGTCCCCTGAGTCCTCAGTAGGCTGTGACCTAATGTCTAGTTACATTTAAGAAAGAGAAAGAGAAAGATATTTAACATTGAGCAGCACTGCTTTTTCATTCACTTACCATTCCATCCTCTGGAGCCTACACCCTGGATCAATTTATGTCTGTTTCTGGGAAATCTGAGTCTCCTGCTCTGCAAATCAGATTTTTTTTTTTTTTTTTTTTTTTTGAGATAAGAGTCTCCTTCTGTCACCCAGGCTGGAATGCAATGGCACCATTTTGGCTCACCACAACATCTACCTCCCAGGTTCAAGCAGTTCTCCTGCCTCAGCCTCCCAGGTAGCTGGGATTATTGGAGTCTACTACCACACCCAGCTAATTTTTGTATTTTTAGTAGAGACAGAGTTTCACCATATTGGCCAGGCTGGTCTCAAACTCCTGACCTTGAATGATCTGCCCACCTCGGCCTCCCAAAGTGCTGGATTACAGGCATGAGCCACTACGTCCAGCAGGTAATGAGGAGCTACTTGTCTAAATTCTGTAAACCTGTGCCCTCATCTGCCTTTTAAAGGCCGCTGCTGCTTTTTTTTTTTTTTTTTTTAAACACAGAGTCTTGCTCTGTCACCCAAGCTGAAGTAAGGTGGCGTGATCTCAGCTCACTGTAATCTCCACCTCATGGGTTCAAGCAATTCTTACGCCTCAGCCTCCCAAGTAACTAGAACCACAGTCACACATTACCACACCTGGCTAATTTTTGCATTTTTAGTAAAGATAAGGTTTCATCATGTTGGCCAGGCTGGTCTCAAACTCTTGGCCTCAAGTGATCTGCCTGCTTTGGCCTCCCAAAGTACTGGGATTACAGGCATGAGCCACTGTGCCCAGCCTTAAATATCTTAACATAACATTCTACAGATAATTTTCTAAAGTTTTACTGGTATAAGGATTACAACTGTTGTGTTCAGTCAGCTAAACAGCCCAAAAGAGCAGCCAATACTTATCTTCAATCTAACAGTCAGAAAACCAAACTTCTTGCCAGAAAAGTGTGTAATTCTCGACACACCAATAGATGAACTGGTCTTAGCTGGGGTAGGGGGTTGGGGTAGGGTGGGAGAGACAACGGAAAAGCTAAAACAGCTCTGAGAATTATTTTTTAACTTTTATTTCAATTTCAGGAGTACATGTATAGGTTTGTTAGATAGGTAATTCGTGTCACAGGGGCTCATTGTATAGATTATTTAGTCACCCAGGTATTAGGCCTAGCAAGTGTTATTTTTCCTGATCCTCGCCCTCCTCTCACCCTCCAACCTCCAGTAAGTCCCAGTGTCCATCATTCCCCTCTATGTGTCCATGTGTTAGGAATGGTTTTTATCTTTGATATACTCAAGTTTGCTGGAATTAAAATGGGTTTGATTAAATAATTTTCAGTAAATTAAGAATATTACAAAGATGAGACAGACATTACATTTGCTTCCTTAAAAAAAATCAAGGTCTACTCAGGCTTGCATGCTCAGTTGTTTCTGTGGTGGAGACAACTGTACTAAGAAGAACACTTCAGATAAATACTAAATGAAATAAACTTTAAACAGATACAAAATATTAAAAATTTAAAGAAAAAAAAGGTCTACAGGCTATCTTGACCTCAGATACAAATACAAACATATATGTCTTATGTATGTATCTCATATATAACATATATGAGATACATCATTATGTGATATAATAAACATATGGTCAATATGCCCAGTGCATAGTAATTCGACATAGGCATTTTCATTATCTGATCCTCTTTACTCTCTACACAAGTTACAACCTTAGGCTGTCCATTGCATCTTCACTCCAAACTTCCCAGTGTAGCTGGTGCCTAAGCATCAGGAAAAGTCTTTATGTGGAAGCAGGGAAAAATCTAAGGAAGGATATAGCTGTAAATACATATATTTAAAAAGAAGATAGATCAAGAGAATGAAAAGACAAGCCACATTGTAGGAGAAAATATTTGTCAAAAACACATCTGTAGGGCCAGGTGCGGTAGCTCACGCCTGTAATCCCAGCACTTTGGGAGGCCAAAATGAGTGGATCACCTGAGGTCGGGAGTTCGAGACCAGACTGGCCAAACATGGTGAAATGCCATCTCTACTAAAAGTACAAAAAATTAGCCAGGCATGGTGGCAAGTGCCTGTAATCTCAGCTACTGGGGAGGCTGAGGCAGGAGAATCACTTGAAAATGGGAGGTGAAGGTTGTAGTGAGCCAAGATGGCGC